TTTTCTTTAAAATCGTTTTGTTCTCTTCTGCTGATTTTTTCCCCACCCGTCTCCTCTCCTCCATCACATCCTCAAAGGCTGCAGCAGCCTACGTCCGGTCTCTTGTTCATTGTGAACAACAACAAACATCATTTAACACTGATAGGGTGAAGCGACGTGTTACCACAAACACTGATGGATGTGCAGCGCTCTAGAGCCCGTACTGATACGACCATCGGACTATGTGAAGCTGCAGCTGCAAATAGATGCTAGCATGCTAGCATAACGCTGATGTCATGACGGGGATGGGATCCAAACATGAGACCAGGGTAGATGGTCCTGCAACAACCACACCACATTGGTGCATCTGGGCTTTCCTCCACCATGGTGCACACATAAGATCCCACTGACTGCTTCCACAAATTATCCACTGACGTTTTACGAAAACTCAGTCAAATCATGCTCTTAATTTGTTTTTAAAGCACTTTGCTCTCAGCAGGAACCTGCACAGACCTATTCTGGTAGATTTAGAGTCAAACTGAGGTTTTTCTCCTTTTAGTTTGTTTAGCTGTTTACTTTTCATCTGCTTGTGGTTTTCTGTTGCTGACTGCTCCACGTCAATTCCTTATTTATTGTTTCCTTAGGTTGTGTAAATGTTTCAGGGCTTTCTTTGTTCAGAGTTTTTACATCACTATTTATTCTCATTTTTGTCCAAAGTCCTGATCATGGGACTTTTTTTTAAAGTAATAAAAGACTGATTTATTTCTGGAGGCTTGAAGGTTAGCATATACGTTTAGCAATATCAACAAGTCTGAGCAAATGAAAATCTCAGCACTCAGAAAGTCTCTCTTCAACATGCTTTGATGCTGCTTTAGGTTTTCAAAAATACAAACATATAAAAATGTGAGAAACCTGAAGTCTCACAGAGGGATGAAAGACCAACCCTAATAAAATACTCTGTGTTTCTGTGAACTGTCATCACTCTTTAATATCTCTGATCGGGATGTATAAGGTGAAGTGAAGTGTAATTATGTCCCTCTCCCGAATAGCTTCTGGTACAGCCAGACTTTAATTAGCTTCAGTTTCCTCACTACGGGGAGGGTATGACCAGATGTCTCCAGGCGCAGTCTGCGTGGTAATGAAGACAGAGCTTTAAAGCAAGGAAAAATATAAATAAATAAGTTTCTGGTTCATTAACTTTGAAAGGAGCTTATTAAATGTCATCACGAGACCAACCCGAAGAGATCACACTTGACTTTCTGGGACTGATTGATTGGACTGTGGTGAAAATGAGACAGACTTCATAATGCACCTTGGAAGGTTTCCTGCTGGCATATGTGGGTAAACTCTTGTGGACCCAGACTGGCCTTTTTGGCTGGGAATTAGTCCCCATCACGTTTGCACTGTATGAATTAAGTTTGTGTAAGTCATAAAAGGTTGTGCCGTGGTTGAATTGAATTAGGATCCAAGGGACAGAGGAAGGCTTCTGGCTGGTCAGGAGAATGAGTCAAATGTAACTGCTGAGACCAGAGCTGAGGAGTTACCAGCAGGAGTGTCCGAAACAGAATTAGATTGGATTTTCTTCTGTTTCTATCTGGATGATTTCACTCAAAAGTTACAAGATACTTAAGCCTAGTCCACACGAAGCCAGATTTTTTTTTAAACGAATATCCGCCCCTCCAAAAACTTGCATCCACACCACCTCATTTTTAAAAAAAACTCTGTCCACACGTACCCGGATAAATACGTTGTTAAGGACATGCCAGACCTGTAGGCGGCAGTACTTCCTCCGTTCTTAACCTCGTCCTTCGTCTGTGGTCTTCCGCAAGGAGCAGTAATTCCGCTTGCAAAAACAAACAAGCAAAAAGCGCTTGGACAATTGATAAAGCGAGCGCAGCTCTGAGGGCATCCATGCTGTTGGCTAGTGTAAACACAGGTCGTACACGTGATGTCAGCATTTTTTGTCGCGGAAAGTGACGTTGCGGACCTTAAAACTCCGGTTTTGTCCGTCCACACGCAGACACCCAAAACGGAGAAAACGCAGATCTTCACTTTGGCCGGAGTTTTTAAAAAGATCCGTTTTCGTGTGAAAAAACTCCGTTGTCATGTGGATGACAGGCCAAAACGTAGAAAAATATCTACGTTTTGGCAGATCCCCGGCTACGTGTGGACAGGGCCTTAGTTGATGTTAGTAAGACTTTAATTTGATACAAATCATGCTGATTTAAAGGAGCTTTGCAGAAATGTTAACAAATACAACATATAATCACCGTTTCCTTGCAGATACAAAAATAATGAAACATCAATGACTTCACTTTCTCAGAAAAGTAACTTTTTCCAAACATCTTATCAGACATCTGTCTTGTTGGACCAGGTCCCACAATGGGTTCTGGAGAAAGACACATGCAGGGCTGGATTTAAACAAACGCAATTTAATTACTGAGGAGGTTTGGTTGTTTGTTGAGTCGCTTCTCTGTAACTAATATATAGAGTTTGACCCTTAAAATGAATGCAAAGATAAATAAAACACACATGGACGTTTTGTATAATTAGCTCTAACAGACACAGTGCTGGTCGTGGTCCATTTGCTGCATTAAGTGTGTATGCAGACAAAGACCCACGGCAGTGAAAAGAAACTTTGAAATGAGAAGAAAGCCTTAACTCTACTGACATGCTTTGCCAGCAAAGGGTCAGCTAAGCAGGAGGCATGGGAGGCGCATTACAGCACAAACTCATATCCACACATCTGGCAAAATTCATCATTTCTGACCAAGTCCATTTGTCTGTTTGCACACAGACTCTCGTGGTGAGCAGCTTGGTGAGACGGGTCATTTGCATTTGTGACCAAAGGTATCCAACACCTCTGTTGTTTGTAGAACCAGGACAAATGTGTAGAGCTGCACCTGCTGTTGATTTGTTCTGACAATTGTTTCACAGTGTAGATGTCTTCATCGTGTACGTTATAACATCAGACGCACCGTTTATTATTCTAAGTATCTTGTGTGCAGATTATTCTAATTAAATGTAATTGGCTCATTCCCTAACCCTTGAGTGATGTGTTGGGTTGGATTTGAATGCTTTTAAAACCTAAAAAACGAATTCCTTTTTGTTCTGTCTTGATAAACAAAACTCTGGAACTGAGGAGAGAGATCTCCGTTTCCCTTGACTGTGTTTTCTCTCCATTTGCTTTATTCTGTGTTTTTTTCCTTTGGAAACAACACCACAAGCATTTCCGAGTGCTGCATAATCAACTTCTGCTTCCTAACTGCTTACACGAGAGGTTGGCTTTTTCTTACCCACACTGGGCCAGCGGAGTCTGCAGCTTACAAGAGCACGGCACAACCTTTTCATCGGCTTCCTGCAGTCAGATGATACTGGGCAGTCTGCTAGCGTGAGCTGCCCTGGCTAATTGGTAAACATGTTCTTGTCAATCAAAATTTTCCCAAATGGCAACTGTTCAGCTCACTACAATGAGCCATGGAGGAGTAATTGTGCTAGACTCGACGGAAGCCTGACTCCGTTCCATCAGCGGCGGTATATTATAAATAAGTGAAGATGGTGGTGGACTGTGGACTTATTCAAGCTTGTACAAGTGCTGAATGGATCTGTTTTCCTCTTGACATGCGCTCAATTGTACGCAGACAAGCCAACGATGAGAAGGCGTAATTGCATTTAAGAGTGGCACTGTATTTGCAGACAGGAGGGGGTGTTTTCTTCAACTTGGGAATCAAAAACACTAAAGTGCACACTCCTAGTGAGAAACTCCAGTCCCTGAAAGTATGCGTGAGCCAAAACCACTGCATCACATGGTTAGATGAAGTTGTTTTAAGTTCATTTAGCTGCTGTAGGAGAGGTAAAATGCTGTATCTGTAATGATATTGGCTACAAACCAGGTCTAACCCAGCTGCATGGTTTGTTAGGTGCATCTGAGCAGCTTCACTGAGTGACAAAAGACTGTGTAACCTCAGGGGAGGCCTCTGCTGTTTGACACATAACACAAAACACTGACTTATCGCTCTATAATAACAACAAAACAACAATCAGCAAGAAACAAGAGAGGCCAAATTATCATCTCTGGATTGCAGCAAGCAGAAAAACCATGCTATTTATATAGAAGAAAAGCAACAGAGCGCAGAATAATGGGAAGCTCTGAAACGGTCATCAACAACCATAAATGTCTCTGGCTTCAATAAAGTACAGCCGCGGTTTGTAAACTAAGATCTATACTCCTGCTTCAGCTCAAGTGCTTTTCAGCGGTACCTTCAGCACCTCACAGGTGTCATTAAAGCCATTTGGAGATGTTGGAATGGATGTGTAGATGATGTTCGCTGAAGAGTTGGATCGTGCCAGCATTTCTCATTCTGGTAATCCCAGGGAGTTTGTCTAGATTCAGAACGAGCGGTTTCACTCGACTGGAGAAAAACATTTTCTGAATTTAAACGCCAACCAATTCTTCAGCGAGCCACCCACTCACACGAAGCGTTAAATTCACCCCAAAGTAGCAGGGAAAGAGATTTACATTTCGGTATGCAGGCTTCAGAGCCTTTGGGTCAGCTGAAGATAGGCGGATTTTCCCCTCTCAATCTAAGGAAATGCAAAGTTTAATCACAGCTTCTGTTGACGCCCCTGGGGTTTTGTATCTTAAGCCCTATTCTTCTTGCATGGGGGCATAAGAAAAGTCTATTAAAAGCTCTTCCAACATCTGAAAGCATATTTCACCAATCAGTCCAAACATGACGGATCATATAAGTGTCACACCCCTCCCACAACCTCCCAGAAAATAATACTGATTTTGTAATTACTGCCTTTTGCTGTGGGCTGGTGTTCAGTGCTACATAATTTCAGCTTTGAAAGAAAGCCTCATAAAAAAATCTCAAAGTCATTTTATGTTCTTCCTAACGCAGTGACTTTTAATTCATCCCTACAAAGAAATAATAGCTGACATTTAAAGTTGTTTATGAAGTCTCGTTCTAATTTCAGTGTGATTTGTGCAGCAGATTGCATGATGATGAGGCTCTTACCCGCATGCCCAGCTCGATGTTTTCTCCTCCGTACACCTCCATACCTGGATCCAGCAGGCCCATCTCACCAAAGTATTCCCGATCAACCACAAAGGAGCAGCCAATCATCGCTGGAGTTCTGGATCAACACAGAAAGAATGATTAAACAAAAATATTCAACCTGTAGTTTAGGGTTAGGGTTGGAAACGGGGTCATGTCCACAATCGATATCTGTTCTCAGAAGCTGAATTTAAATGAAATACTTAAATCAAAGGATGTATTATTGTTGTTATTATAAGCTGCATGGAGAGGTGGTTGGTAGCTTTGTTGCCCTGCAGAGAGACGTTTGCAGGTTTGAATACCGGCTGCAGCTTTTCTGCCTACAGCATGTTCTCCACATGCGTGTGTGAACTTCCAGGTACTCTGGTTTGCATGTTAGGTTGTTTGGACACTCTAATTGTCCCAAGTTGTGAGTCAGTGAATGACTGGTTGCTTATCTCCATGTGTCCCTGGTATGGAATGGACACCTGTCCAAGGAACCCGCCCCTTTCCCCAATGCCTGCTAGCAGAGGTGTGACCAAGTTGCTTTGCAAGTCACAAGTAAATCACAAGTCTTTCCAGTCAAGTCTCAAGTCAAGACCAAGTCAAAGACAACCAAGTCCAAGTCAATGTCATGGTCCGTGGTGAGCTGCCAGCCTGTAACCTGGTTTCTCCTCTGAGCATTGTTCTCACAGGTGGGCGTGTCTGAGAGCTCCCAGCTGCAGCTGATTTCACCATCAAGGCCCAGGGGATTTAAGGAGCAGTGTGACACTTCACCACGCCGGATGATTACTCTGAGTAGCTCCAGCTTACAATAGGATTCTGATATTTGTATTCTGCTCTTGTTAACCTGCCGCCTGAAAGAATCCTTAATGCCCTTCCCTGCTCTCCTCCAGGTTCCTCTTCACCTCTCATCTCCTCCAGAACAAACCCGGATCTCAGCCTACCTGACCACACTGCTTCATCCCCTGGTCGCCCGCTCTCAGCCGCTCACCTACCAACATCCATTCCTGCTCCTACGCCTCTGGACAAACCAATTCCCTCATCTTTGGATCTCCTCAGCTCACCCGGACCTGATAACCCTCCCTGTACATTTACCACTGCCAAGAAACAGTAAGCCCAGCCTCTAGATAAATTTCCATTATTTCCACCTCATATTCACTCTGTCTCCCTCCTCAGAATTTCCTCCTGGAAACCTGCTGCCAGTCCTGCATCCCGTCGGTTCCCGTCTCTCCCGCTGCTCCTTATTTAGTAATAGAAACCTTTTTACTTACCTTCCTGCTCTCCGTGTTGTGATTCTGCATGTCGTGGGTCAAGAAACTGCCACCCAACATGACAGTAGAGTTCAAAGTCAATGATATGGAAGTCTAAGTCATTAACTTTGAATTTTTAAGTCATAATCAAGTCATCTGTCCAACTTCGATTTAATGACAATGATAAGAAATAAATTCCAGAAATAAAGCTTCATTTATTTGTTCAAACAAGCAGAAAGTGCAACTGAACCTGGTTATAAACAAAGTGCTGCTGCAGTTAGCAGTACAAGATCAAACCCAGAACCAAGAATGATTCATGATTTTCGTCCATGTCGTGTCACTTTTGTGCTAAAATATCAAATATGCTCAAGTCATCATTAAGTCTACAGATGTAAGTTGATTCAAGTCGCAAGTCATTGGCGTTCAAGTCCGAGTCAAGTTATAAGTCTTTATAAATTTTATCAAGTCAAGTCAGAAGTCATTAAAATAATGACTCAAGTCTGACTCAAGTCCAAGTCATGTGACTCGAATCCACACCTCTGCCTGCTAGACACCAGCTCAACCTTACTGAGGATGAAAGTTAATGAATGAATAAATTTAGATTAATGTTTTTCACCATACCATGTTTCTTTGTTTTGTTTGATAAGGCATTCAGTTCCTCCTTGGGCAAAGATTTGGGAGGTTTATCCATGGGGATGTTTGTCACCATGTGCACTGACTAACACTGCCCTTTCTCACCAGCACAGCACAAAGGTCAAATGTTCTGCCTAACAAATCCATCGCCTGGAGTGTCTTCACAGCAGTCAGGATAAAAAGAGACAGGAGCCAGCGTGGGTCAAGTATGGTTCAATGACAAAAAATAACTAAAAATGTCAAGAGGAAAAAACAAGCAAGCAGTTGTTTACAAGCTAAGTTTTCCTGGTTCTGTAGATGTTGTACTCTGTCTCTCAGTCGTTCTTCGTTGGAAGAAAACCCCACCACAACCCAACAGAAATAACAAGGATCCAGATGAATCTGAAATGCAATAAACAACACGTTTGAATATTTGACTCAGCAAAGGATAGTAATAAATGTGTTGGTTTGAGCACCAAATTTGCACAATGTCCAGTCATAAAAATTAATAAACAGTAGGAATTGTTTAAGGAAGCTGGATGTCCCAACAGGTTGGTCTGTACAGAAAAATCAGGAGCTCCATCTCTGACCCTACAACCCTAACCCTGTTTCAGGTTCATGGTTTCTATGACAACAGTATGCATAGTTACATTTCTAAATGAACACCTAACAATGCCTTTTAGATTTGACCAAAGCAGAGATGTTTACCCTACCACCACCTGTCAGCACGGCGGTGGATGGCTGATGGTCTGGGCTCCTTCTGCAGCCATACTACCTGCCTATTAAGTAGTAAACTTGCTTTCTACACAGACACGTTTTTTTTAGTTTTACTTTATTTTTTAAAAAATGAACACAGTGAGGATCTATTGTGAGTTTCTGTATGCTTACAGGGTTAAAGCTGCTATAACATATCTACAGAACTGCTCCTGGATTCATGGAACACTCACCCTTCCCCTCGGGGAAGACGTTTCTGCTGGAACCGGAAACCCACATTGCTACAGTAAATGAGATAGTGCTAAACACCAGTCGCTATTTTCTAGGTCCAAACCTCTTTTGTTGTCCATGACTTCAAATGGTGTTTTTCTCTTTGGGACTCTACTAATTTGTCCTAAAGTTGAAGTGGTAGCAGCCGGCTCTTTCTCCTTCTCTGATTTTATCGAGCGAAAAACCTCTCACAGCAGTGGTGTTCTGTCAGAATAGTGTGGCGGTTCTGCGAGTCCAACAACCGGATGGTCCAATGGTTGCTTTTGGTCTGAAACGAGTTACTGGCTTTTAGACAAATGTTAGAGAACCACTATGTTATTTTTTAAATCTTCACAATATACTTATAGCTATACTATGTTAGAACGTTGTTAAAAGGCATGAAAAACAGTTTTCAACTAATTTGGTTAGCCATTGCAACTTTAACCCTCCCACTGTCCTATTGGGTGTGACCCCGCGAGGAAAGTTGATCATTGAGCAGGATTGATGGTTTATCCCTTGGGTCCATGTGGCAGGGGTGAGGTGGTGCTCACCCCTGCCACATGGACCTCAAGGGATAAACCATCAATCCTGCTCAATGATCAACTTTCCTCACGGGGTCACCCATGAAGACAGTGGGAGGGTTAAGTGTGAAATGTGTTAGAAGCTTCAGAACACGGTGTCCTTGTCTCATATCAAACACAAGATAGCAGAGACCTTTTAGAGCATTTATTCATTTAACTTACATGCAGAAATTTAAATTTGATGGAAGTATTTTTACAGCTTACAGAAATGAGAGAATAGTAAATTAGGAGTAAGACTTCAGCTTCCTTTTCATTCCATCACTTTGACTGGCTTTAAAAGCTTTGGTCTCAGCCTTCATGCCGGGTGTATTACTATTATTATTATGTTTATCCAGAGAATGATCAGCTCTACTCATCTTTCTGCCACAGTGCCTGGGAAGTGTTCTCCACACAGATGACACTAACGTGGACTAAATGTGTGTCTGACTTCAGTCTGAGGGACTCGGCAGCCGGCAGTGCTTTAAAGTGCTCTGGAGCTGCTTTGTGATTTATTGGCTCTGAGTGCGCACAGCCGTCCAGTACGAAAGCCAACGAGAAAGGGGCTTTTAAAAGTTAGACCTCCTATAAAAAACTGCGTGGGCCATCACTTTTGAGTGTTGCTCCGAACATCCGGGAGTGGGACATAAATAAAAGTGACACAGGTCCGAAAACCCTCCTGAAGCACGACAAGGGTATGGAAAGCTTTTCGGAACATTTGCTCAGTTGACGGCTTTGAAAATTGACATTCATCAGCTTGTTTGAGCAACTAGATCTAATCAACACTTTCATAACAGAATAAAACAAAAGCTGTGAGCACCGTTTCGTTATGTCGGTTTATTGTGTTACAGCTGCAGCTAAACGCATCGTTTCTGTTGGAATTTCATCATGCCAACGGTTATTATTCATAGTCGTCAGTGAACACTTGTGCTTCCTGACAGGAATGAGTGGAGTTTTGTTTGAATTGTGAGTGTGTGACAGGATGCTGGGGCTGGCACACACACACCCCTCCACGTTTGACCTTCCTCACCCGTCTGGATCCTACAAACTCTTCAGAATAAACTTCCAGGCAACAGAAGTGCTGTTTCTATATTTAAAAATGCATGCAGTCCTTTAATATGTGCAAAAATAAAATTTAAAACCTAGCCTCGCTGCTTTCTCTTTTTTATAGGGAGGATTTCAAAATATAAATAATCCTGAGTCATGAGAATCAGCATTAAAATGTTGCTGCATGTATTTGCAACTTTAAGTGGAGAAAAATGTTCTTTTTATTAAAGATTTCAAGCGGCTCTTATTTGTCTGGTGTGTGAGGGGATTAAACAGACAGTATTAAAGTAATTCTCCCACTAGAGCCAATTAACTGAAGCCAATTAAGTGAATAATTAGAGTCATCTGTTCCTCTTAAAATGCTGCAAAGAGAGGCTAAATAGCATACACCTAAAGTGTCTTTAAAAATCACCTCATCAGTCGTTCATTTTTAACTGAGACATTGCATCAATAAACAACAGCGTGGAAACAAATTTGTGGGAAAGGAGCAAAAAATGTGTTGTTTTATGCAACAACAAACGCTGAGTTGTGTATTGTGTTATGTTCTCTTAGGTAGGCTGTAAAAGGCAGGCTGTAGGTCTGAACACAGGGTTTTCTCTCTCCAACAGTGTTATATTCTACTGGTTTCTTCGTCTGATGTTGCAAGGTTGAGTTATTTTGGGTTTGCAGATGGTCTTCCTGCGGGGCTCATCTGTCCCATTCGCCCCTCTATCTTTGGTCACTGCTTGCACGGTGGGCATAAAATGAATGCATACATGCAAGACGAATGCTGTAAAGCTGCTATTAGCCTAAATAATGACAGATCATTTCCCCAACCCCATAATTTTCTAGCGTGTAACAAGTTTTCCTACGTTTCCAGTTGAAGATTCAACAGTTATGCCCATCCATCAAAACCAGCAGCACCCATTTCCATTTTATTTACTTCTGTGTTCTGCCAATAATCACAGCAGCAGCTGAGGAAACGCCCGTTTCTGTCATAATGCTTTCAATCCTGTGTTCTCTCTGAAAGATATGTTTGTGCTCTCACACAATTTCACTTTCTTTTTGTTCAAATCTATCAAAACAACCAGAAAGGACACCAAGGCGGGGCTCTCAGGGTGTCAGCGCCTCTGTTGTTGATGGGCAGAAACCTCAAGAAAACAAGTCGGACAATGATTTCCGATAGAAATCCACACAGCCGACACACTTCATCTGGCCCCCGAGGCAATCTGTCCGTCGGCAGCAAAGTGTCAGCAGGGACACGGAAACGACTCAGCGATGTCTGAAACTCTTCTTTTATTGTTTGTGTATCACAAGCCCAGCAGCTGATGCTCCATAATAAATGATTTTTACTGAGCTTTGAAAACACGTTTAATATTTAGGCCCAGGGTAGAAACTGTCATCTCTTGCTTTGTATGAGGCACCTTGCATCAAATGAAAGTGAGGTGATGAAACTGGTTTGGAATGCAATTTCTGTCTCTGTTGGACATAACTCAAAAGCTTGTGTGATTGTTTAGATGTTTGTAATAACGGATGGAATTGTACCGATGTCTGGTATTTGTAGCTCTGCACAGCAAATCAAATAGAACTTGCTGTGATTGCAGAAGCAGATTGAATTTACCCACAATGACAAAATCAACAGATCATTTATAGGCTGCTCATAAAAAGCACATCAAGGTCAGCAGCAGCCCTCTGGTGCCTTTTCTGAATCCGTATGCTAACCTGGGTTAGCTAAAATAAACCGTTCAGTTTCTAACAGTACTGTAGGCAGTCAGTGACATTGTCCACAAGGAGGGAAGCTACAAAATGAAGCTGGATGTTCTCAAGAGTGCCAATTATGCTGATTGGTAGAAAGTTGGTAGGAAAAGGTGCAGCAGCATCAGGGAGAACCGTAGCCATGAGAGGAGCATCAAGATAAATCCATTCAGGAATCTGGAGGAGCTTCACCAGGAGAGGACTGAGGCTGGAGTCAGTGCATCAAGAGCCTCTACGTACAGCTCGATCCTACACATGGGCTACAGACATCACATTCCTCAAGCCAAACCACTCCTGAAGCAGAGACACCATCACAGACACCTGGGCTCAGGAGAGAAGACTTACACTGTTGCTCAGTGGTCCAAAGTCCTCTTTCAGGTTAAGGTAAAGTCTATAGGTCATGTGGAAATCAAGGTGTCAGAGACTGGAGGACGAGTGGATAGGCCCAGCATCCACGATGCTGGAAGTTTCCACAGTCAGTGATGATGTCATCTGCTAGTGTTGGTCCACTGTGGGTTCTAAAGTTCACAGTCAACTCAGACATCTACCAGGACCTGGAGAGGACTCCATGCTTCCTTCTGCTGACAAGCTTTATGGAGACACTGATTTCATTTCCCAGCAGGATTTGGAACCTCCACACATCCAGAAGCTGGTTCAATGACCCTGGTGTTGCTGGGCTTGATAGGTCAGCAAATTGGTCTGACCTGAACCGCCTGTAGAGGATCTATGGAGTTTTGTCAAGATGACCATGAGAGACACCAGACCCAACGAAGGAGAAGAGCAACCTGGGCTTCCATCACACCTCAGCAGAGCCTCAGGCTGATGGTTTAGGCTGACCCTGACCCAGGCTGATGCCACATTAATGCAGTAATTCATGCCAAATGAGGCCCGGCCAAGTATTTATACATAGAAATGAACATACCAATCAGAAGCCTGCTGTTTCTGTATAAAAAAATCCTTTTTATTGATCTTATGTAATAATCCAACTTTCTGAGATGCTGGACTTTGGGCTTTATTATCTGTAGCCATCATCCAAATTACAAACAAATACAGACTTGAAATATTTCACTAAGAGTGGTGATTTTATACAACACCTGAGTTTCTGAGATGCGTGACTAAAATGTAGAATTCTTCCAAGATATTGAAAGTTTTTGAGATGTACCCAAATACTCTCTGCCTCTGTGGGTCTTTGATGCTGCTGTGTTTCTGATCTGTTGTTCGTGCCTCCTGTGAGCTTCTCTTAGGTTTGTTTGGTGTTTTTGTAGACCCATCAGCCATTTGCCTCATTATTAAAACCTTGATTTGTACTCGGTTTCCTTCATCTGTCGGTCTGATCACACACTACTTTGTAGCAGAACTCATCCTAAAACAGTTTTTTATTTTATTTTTTTTTTTTTACCAAACCTTTATCCTGGACATACGATAGAAACCTGTGCTGTCCTTAAACTGGTGGTTGATGGTGGTAATGGTATAAATTATAAGCTTTATTCAACACACAGTTACAGTAATGGCACCTCATCAGCATGGCCTCGTGATCCTGCATCAAAATGAAGATATTCATCATGTTAATTAGACAGCTCACTGCAGGAAGGCTTTATTTGTGTGTGTGGCACTCAACGCTGCACGCCACTATTGTTTGATGGCCCCATTCATGAATAAGTCATATCCTAAAGCCATCCATATTTCATCAAACATCCTCATCTATAATGGACGTCGTTCATGCCCTCACCTGATGGGGGCTGTCTCATCGCCCTTGTCCAGCCACTCCTGTGGAGGGATGATGTACATGCACCACAAGCCCCAGTTGTAGCCGTGGGCGGCGTTGGCATACTGCTGCACCTCAAAGGTGTTGTACTTGATGTTGTCTATGGCAGGAAGGATGATGCGGGTGTGATCTTCTTTCATTCGGGTCAGAATGGGTTCAGCCCTTTGGAAAGGGAAAGAGACAGAGACACTCTGAGGTACATGCAGCAGCTTCATTGACAGTTCCAAGAACTAGAATAAAGAACGAACGATGCAGTCTGCTGCAGGCCAAATTAAAAGGCATACTTTTGCATTGCAGACGTGTGGAGTTTATGCAACAAAAATCATCAAGATCGCACTTTTAAATAATAAATATAATTAGATAATACATCTAAAAGTGTGCAAGAATTCCAGGAATACTGAGTTATATTATGAGGAAAAGTCAGGAGCAGATTAGCAGATCAGATTATTAAACTTCTGCAACAATTAAAGCTACTTCTAAAAAAGATTTTTCTCAGCTTTTCCCTGAAAACCATCACCTCTTCATCAAAATAAATCAATAATTTATTTAACTAACAGTTTTTATTTGAATAAAAGCAATTTAGGAAGAGAAAGTACCAACTACACTGAGACTGAACTGTGTGTCTTGACATACAGTAAAGATTCAGTCAAACTATCTGGGCTTGATAATGCCACATGGGCAGCATGGTGGGGCATTTGGTTGCATTGTTGTCTTGCAGCAAAAATGGTGCAGGTTCAAATCCCAGCTGCAGCTATTGTGCATGGAGATAGCATGTTACCTGCATTCATATGTGGGTGTCCTCCAGGTACTGGTTTTCTTCTCTTCCCATGAACCAAAAACATGTAGCCAGCTAATTTCTATACTCGATACCCGTGAATGTGCATGTCTGGTTTGTCTCTGTGTGCCCCTGTGATGGACTGGAATCCTGTCCAGGATGTCTCTCACCTTTTGCCCTATGACTCCTGGAGGTGGAGCCACCCCCATCTACCCTTTATGTGAGTGAGCGAACTCAAGAGCACATTTGGTAAAAGTGTAACAGGTATTTTGCTCCAGAGCCAAATTTTATGTGCAGCTGAATGACAAAAAGTTTTCATTCAGGCCAGCTTTAAAACGCATGTTTGTTTGATTTGGTTTTCTGCTGAACCGCTGAAGGAGGTGGCTGGAAAAGGGAAGGTCCAGAGAACTCTGAACACACTGCTGGCTTTGCAATCTAGTCACTGATATGCATAAAAAAACACATAAATGGAACAATATTTCAGACGTAGCACTCTCCACTGAAGAAGGAGTTTGTTAATCCACAGGAAAAAATGTCAATGCCCACTTTAGTTTAACAGAGGCTGAGCAGCTCTCGGGACTCTGTTTGAGTTTTGCATGCATTGCTTTAGAAACCAACACAGATAAACTAGTTTAAATTGTTAAAAGTCGGAAAAGAAGTGAAAACATTGAAGAAAAAATACATTAGGTGTGTTGACGCTGACGTCCTGGTAGTGAATTGATAAATATTCTACTCAAACCAAAGCGATAGAACACAAGATCATTAGAACTATTAAAGTTTCTTGGATTTGTATGTGGATGGATCCTTAAAATCCTTGTTTATTAAACTTAACATCATGTTTTAGGTAGTCAGCCTAGTTAATCTTGAAGAGACAGTGTTGTTGGAAGGCCAGCACAACATTTAGACCACACAGGATAAATACTAAACTAAATGGTTCTATACGGTATTTTTACAAAGTTTAAATGACCGATTAACTATCTTTGAGTTTCTCTCTCATTCATCCATTTCTATTCATTTTCCCAGATCCTGAAAAAGGCTTCAGTATTTTCAGCATCCTTAAAGCTGTAAATGAGGATATGTTGTTTTGACAGAAGGACTAATGTCATACCAGCCAGACCCCATGTTTCCTCATGGGAAGTTCTGGGAACTCGTCGTTTGCAATAACCTCACCCCCTGAGAATTCTAACTGGGCCAATCAGCGCTGAGCAGCGTACGTCACAGGCCACGACGCTGAGTTTGTCATAAACATGGCGTCTGAAGCGAAGTTTTCTGCGACTCTTTCCTCTTTTCTAAATGACTTGAATGTCTTTAAAACCACAACAAGAAGAAGCGCTAAAAGCCTTTCTTCTAAAATGAGATGTTTGCATCATCACCAGACGCCATTTTTTACCACAGCTATAAAAAAACTACAGCACTGCGCGGTACGGTCAGCACTTTTTCTGAATTTTTGAGCTGGCTAGTCCCGCCCCTTGTGCGCCTCTCTGCCCGTGAGTAACCAGACTAGTTCGCTGTGTAGACACAGGACAAGTCTGGCAGAACAGGCTTCATCTAATACAAACCAAACCATGTTCAACTCAATAATGAAAATTTAAAGGAAACTTTGCAACTTTTTTATATTTTTAAATAAGATTTTGAGCCGGTTTGTGTTAAAATGACCATTTACTGGGTTAGTAAAAGGCCGCTCAGCCCCTATCGCCCCTGTGGCCAAAATATTCCACTTGCAGCTTTACAGGTGCCGGTCCGCTCTGTTGGGAAAAACTGAGCTTTCATACCTGGCGCTGCAGTCTGACTCCAGCATGTTTCCTTCATGTTTTATATCAGAAACACAGCTGGTTTGTTTAATTTAGTGACGAATCACTCCTGGAGACCCTAAGGAAGGCTGAGGAGATGTTTCAGCTGTTAAAGTGGTAAAAAGATGAACGCACAGTAAGGAGATTTTGGTTTAGGTTCTACAAACGGACACTAGAGGGTGCTAAAAGCAAGCTAAAACTGCCTGGTTCCTTTGAATCTGTTTTACAGCAACAAATCAGCTGTGTTGAACACACCATGACAGTTTCTTCCACTATCATGTCTTTGTGTCCTCATCAATGTAGAAGGCCCATCAATCTTTCAGAACAAACATGGTAAACAGAAATATAAAAATAAGTCATTCTGTGGTAAATTCAGGACACACAAAAATCTTTACAAACTCTAGAAAATAAAGAGATGCAACATGTAGGGGGAAAAACAAGTTATAACTCAAGTTATTGTTTATTTAACTATACAAAAACAGCATGTGGCACATTAAACTAACCTGCACGGATTCAGGAAGGGAAAGATGATGTTTTGTCACTTTGGAGCCCTGGCCCTCATACCAACACACCTGAACATTTCAGGAGGGATAACTTCAAAAATGCTCTTGGAGGAGAAACTGTTGATGTCCTCAACTCTGAGAGTGGTCATAAGGTCATTATGAATGAACTCATTGTTCTACATAAGATTATTAACAAATAATAAAGATTAAAGCCTCTCTTCATAGTCATGGATGTCCAGCTCATCTATAGAGTTCCAACACGTTAAATGTCCTCCCAAGAAACATGGCCGAAGCAAACATACCAAACATAACAGAAAATATTCATACCAGCTGTCAGCATGGAGGTGGAGGGCTGATGGTTTGGGCTTCATACTTTTTCTGGTCATTCAATCAACAATGAACCCATCTGCAGAGAAATGTGTTCGGATCATCAATCACATCTATGTTTTAGTGCTGAAGTTTGGACCAAAACAAAGCCATCAGTATGATGACTTTGTGTTGGTTTTAGAGAGTCTGGTCATTTGTCTTTGTGTTTACAGTTTTTAGTTGGTTTGTTAAATTCTACTCAAACTGCATTTCAAGTTTGAACATCACAACAAAATCATAAACTCATGAGCTACTGTGACCGAGAAATTATTTTAAAAGTTGTAGTTTAAATTTCTGCTGCATTCACGTGTTTTAGTCACACTCCCTTCTGCTTGGTTTCTTTGTAGATCAGCTTGGTGCCTTGCTAGCTTTTGGTTTTAAGTTATGGGTTTTATTTTATATCCCAGCCTCTATGCCAGCCTCCTGCTGGGTAACAGCAAAATTCTAGTATGGCTGAGAGAGTCACTGTCTCAACAGTACCCAGTTCAGACACCAGCTGATTGAAAAGCTGTGACAGGACCTTTAATACAAACACCATAAATGAATGTCAGCCTGACTCACGTAAAATATAGTTTTTAATAAACACAGTCTAAGACATCTCTCTTCAACAATTTGAAAGACTGTACATGTAGTCATAAAAAATGACAACTGATTTGAATCATTGCTGCTAAAGGTGGTTCTCTGAGCTATTAAATTAGAACGGCAATTGTCACACACAGATTCTGCATTTCAGCCTTACATTAGTTCACTTTTAGGACGATTTTATTGCATCTCAATACATAAAACATGAAAAGGTTAAACACATGGTAAATGGTAAATAGCTTGTATTTGATGTAGTGCCTCCTAGAGTCCTGGAACCATCCCAAGGCGCTTTACAACACAATCGGTCATTCACACACAAGTTCACACCCTGGTGGTGATGAGCTACATTGTAGCCACAGCTGCCCTGGGACACACTGACAGAGGTGAGTCTGCCGTACACAGGTGCCACCGGTCCCTCCGACCATCCCCAGCAGGCAAGCTGGGTTAAGTGTCTTGCCCAAGGACCCGATTATGTGGCGAGCACTGAGCCACCATCGCCTTTATTGTCTCTGTGTGTCAAATTGTGTTATCCAACGAGAATAACACAATTTGACCTAGTTTTACGACTTGATGCAGCTTTTTTATGCATGAGAACAAAGGAATAATCCACACCATTCTAGCTTCATCCAGAAACGTTTCCAGATATAAAATACCAAGCCTGAATAATTCTCAACCAGGTAAGTAGAACCTGTAACAGAATGAAATGACTGTTTTCCACCTAAAAGTCACCCCCCCCCCCAGCAAGAACTAATCTGCATGAGATGTGGCCTCAAGGTTTCATGCATCTGCTTCTAAACTGTTTTCCTTTCCAGCGCAAGAGAAGAATGAAGGCAAAGGACTCTGTCTTTTTAATAAATCAAAGAACTCTATTTTTAATAAGCTAATCAAACAAAGTGTCAGTCAATAATTAAATGTGAACCAAGTTGTGAAATGAAAATATGAATTACTTGATATTATAATCCTACAGAATATAATATAACTTTAAATGTTTCCACTAGAGACTGATTACACGAAAGGTTAAGCCACGACACATTGCTTTTAATGATCCAGTCAGAAACTTCCAGATCTGACGGAGGTGTGGTTTTGGTGGTGCTTGGTAAATCTGTCATCTTTTCATTCGACCGTAAATCAAAACATCCAAGTTAT